ATACATGTAAACAGACATGTAAACAACTGCCTAGTATTGAGTAATGGTTTAGACGTAAACAACTGATTAAAATAGTTTTAACTTATCAAATAAAGGTCATGTGTCTGGCTCTGACTAAGAAACCAAAACAGTATCTAACAAAGACATTCGTACCATTTGAACATATTTTCATTGCAACCCGACTTCATTGCACTAGAGTACTTTTATAAGACAGATCAACAGAAAAAAAGAGGAATAAACTGTAAAGAGGAAGGAAAAGGATGCTTCTGAGGCCCTCACAAAGCAGCTGCACTGACACTGAAATTCACCTACAAATAGCTAAAACAGTTAGCAGTGAAAACAACTGAATTCCACTGTTACATAACAAATAAAATGATCAACAGTCGTCGTTTTGTTTCCCATTAGGAACCTCCAGCATTAGAAAATACTTTAAAAAGTAGGAAACATCAGCACGCTGAAGCTGAAAATAAAAAACATTTATGTCCAGTTTTTGCTGATGAAATATCACCAGGTTTTAGTTTAACGCTGTAAATTGAAAGGAATAATATCCATTTAATCTCAATGAAATGCTTTTTTATGGTTTTTGGGTTATGATGGAATTAATCTTCAATTCTTAGCTTTTTTATATTGTTCTAAAAACAAAACAAAAATCATAAATGGTTTGAATTGTCCAAAAATGAAATCCTTTCACCAGAAGCTCTGCAAACAGGATTTTACCGCATTTTTCAGACTATAAAGTCGAGCGTACACTGTGCGATATTTTCAATCGCAGCAACAACTTAAACTGTACGATGAAACGGCAGGATTCAAAAGTTCCCAGCTCACGATGTTTGTTCTCACACTGTGCGATTTTTCCAATCATTCCAATCAGCTACTGGTCACACTGTAGAATGAAACCGCAGGGTTTAAAAGTTCGCAGCTTACGATGTTTGTTCTCACGCTGTACGTCTAAAAAAAAAAAAGGTGGGACTCAGCTCCGCAGTGAGACGGCGCGTGGTTGATAGAGGCTGATCGCCCCTCGTTACCCCCTGTACAGCTACACCACACACCATCAGGCTGAAAGTCGGCGCGATCAAAAAAAAAAAAAATAATTCCATGACTGGAAAAGAGGAGCGAAAAGGGCACAAAAAAATAAATCGTACAGCGTACGTCTGGCTTTAGCCGCTACGTTTTTTCCCAGGCTTTGAATCATGCGGCTTCTAAGAAGGTGCGGCTTTTCTGTGGATTTATCCTAACCACCAGAGGGGGAGGGGTCAGACGAAATGAATGAATAACATGCTAGCATGCTGTGCTAAATGAAAATTAGCACAACATGCTAGCAGCAGGCAAGAAGGAGAACAAATTTCCCAAATTCACACATCTTTCCATTTATTTGCCGGATTAAACCAATGAAGAGACTGAGCTCAACTCCTGCAGAGCTGAAATAAAGAGCTGATGAAGCTCCATCTTTCAGTAGAAGCTCCTACTGCTGCGAGCTAACAAGCTAAC